TTATGCTGTGTCATCAGTTACTCACTATATCCTACCATAGCCAACCAATGTGAGTTACTGTTGATGTTACAAAACCTTCTATGCTTCTTAAACACAATTATGACCATCGTAAGACAATATTGCTTGCACAGAATAAAACATATACACAATAAAATATTTATTACCACTAACATATGGAACTGTACTCAAATCAGAATTTTAATCATAAGTAACAAAAAGCAAAAACAAACTCAAAAAAGCACCAAAATGCCCCTATAACCTTTATCAGTGACTTATTTCTACATCTTATTACTGTATTAAATGCCATAGCAGGCACTTTAAACTCATTAAAAATATTTATTTATATAACTTACTCAATACAGTAAATAATTTTTCTAATTGCATTATGACAGTTTGTGTTAAAAATTATAATCTTCATCTTTGGAATCTTCGTTAATTCAATTCAATAATTCAATTTTTAAAAACCTTGATTGTTAGAAGATACAAGTGTAAGATCTACAATGCATTAGATTGTATCTCACTCCAGAATGATACAAGCAACAATTGTAAGACATTTAACTGTAATGTAACATTATTACCTGACTCTTTGAAGTCTACTGACAAGTGAGCTTAAAACTAATCAGTATAAATGTATAAATGACCAAACCTACCAAATGCTCATATCTCTTACACCATGAAAGTTAATCGTACGATCCCACAATTAATAACATGTACATCAAAATCAATATCCTATACCTAATATAAACAGTGACAACACTGAACACAAAGTGAATGGCACATGTGAATTGATATGGTATTTCTTTTCCTTCTACTATACTATATATTGCACCTTAGTCAAGGAGGTCAAAAAAAGACATTAATTACTCAACTAAATGTATAAATCAATTGTGTCCATATTCAATTGGCCGTCAGTTGGCTGTCATGTCCAACATTCAAACTGAAAAAACTGATATTACAATTGGCAAGTAACTAGAGTTATCTCCCATATACAATTGAAAACTAGAAGTAAAATCAGTCAATAATTATTAGGATTACTTGTATCATACAGCATTAAAGTGGCTTCAAATGTTTACAAGTTTAATTTTGTTTTCAAACTTTCAATAATTATTAGGATTACTTGTATCATACAGCATAAAAGTGGCTTCAAATGTTTACAAGTTTAATTTTGTTTTCAAACTCAGGTTTCCTGTGAGTCAATTCTCAGTGACTTTTCTTACAAAGATATAAAAAAGACACTTTCACTTCTCTCCCACATTTTACCAGACAAAAACATCTTTCTGAATGTTTAATGTTGAGCTACATAACATTGTAATCCTGAATACTGAATTTCACATGTTCAGTCTCTGATTTTACTGACCGTCTTGTGTTCCACTTTCACTAACATTTGAGTTATCACATACTATAACTGTGCTATGTCAGTCTTATATGACTTGTTTAAAGGACAGTAAAATTCCTAAACCACTACAGACGGGAATGATCAATCCTTACATACTTCAACTTTCACCATTCAATGAGTATCAGGGAAATTGAGGTAACAATAAAACAAATAAGCTGGCAAATGACTGGAAACTTAAACAATACATCCTTTACAGTACATGCATGCAAGAACGATTTATTAACCAAGACTAAGAATTTTTCCCTAGAAACGCTATGCTAAAACAGGAAAACAAACATTGTGATCTGTTTTTTACAAGTAACACATGAAATGGGAAGTTTACAATAATTTCCATCTTGTAGAAAATTTGCTTCTATATGACACTCTTGAAGTCATTTTGGTTCTGTATCTATCGTCTAAACTGTGGTGATTAAATGCTTTTCATGACGTCACAATACATCTAGATCACACACGAAAACAGAGATCATTCACAGAACACAACAATAATTACATCAAAGTATCTTCACTACATCATTTGTTTTCATATGGAATTCATGAAACCTGCTTGTCATACATGTACAAATGTATTGTAAAACAAGTATAAATCTAGATAATTACATGATTATAAATGAGTATGGAAAAATTATCATGAAAAATATAACAGTGAAGGAAGAGGCTTCATGATGTCAAATTGATTGGCAGGTTTCCAACTGTTTAAGTGATTTGATTTCTCGGTTACTTAAACAGAATGCTACTGTAGTAGTGCATCTGTAGTGACTGATATAGTGAGTATTCCTCACTGCTAATACAGTAGTACATCTGTAGTGACTGATATAGTGAGTATTCCTCACTGCTACTGTAGTAGTACATCTGTAGTGACTGATATAGTGAGTTTTCCTCACTCCTGGAAATCTAATAAAATCTAAATGACGATGAGTGAATTGCTGATTAACTTCTGATTTGCAGCTTTAGCAAATCAACTTAGGAACCTGTCAACCAGCCTACCAACATAAAGCCAGTTATTCTTTAATGACAAGAACCATTTCATTGGAATGAACTGCCAAAAACATATTAATCAAAATGGAATGTCAAAGACAATCACACTACATGTGTGATTTTGAACTGTGTATGGACTATGAGCTTCCAGGCAACTAGCAAAGTGATTTTGATGTATGTGCAGGGACTTCCATTGTGTTAAGCATTTGGGGAAAAGTCTCAGTAGGCCATTTTTGGGGCAAATCCCTTCAAAAACTACAAAGAAATAAGGATAATTTGGTAAATAATTTGCGTCATTTAGGGATGATATGTATGTAGCTGCTTATTTGTGTAAAGTCAGCTACATGCCTAACATTCCATGCCATGAGCAAAAGTTAGGTAAGCAGATGTGTTATGCACCAGCAAATACAGCAATTATCAGACAACTAATATATCCATGTTCTTTTCTTTACCCTATGATTCATTTATAAACTGGAAACTTGTACACTTGTGTAATAAGAACCTACTGGAGGTAAAACAAATACCCTGATTAAAAGCAATACATGTACAATAAAAATGCAATCATGTTTAATAAGTTTTTCTTGTCAAAATAATTGTTTTATAGTTTTTAACTCCAGAAAAAACATCATAAGGCAATCACATTATTTTTTTTATAGGAGCGTCTCTATGAATAAAAAACTTCACCCTACAAAAGACAAAATATTGATTTCCACATTTAGCAATCTTAGCTGAAAGTTACATTCTTTAAAATTTTAAATGTTTCTAAAAATTCAGCACTTTGTTTGCATTTTGGTCACATTCCTCCAGTACTCAATTTAAATGTAAGGTATAAGCAAAGGACCTTATGCTCAGTGCCTGATGATCAAGTAGTTCCTGTTTGACCTTCAAAATGTAGAGCACCAAATAGCTAGATAGGGAATGTGCTACATAGATATTGCATGTTGACAATACTGTGTATTTAATGACAATTTAATCAAAGTTAACACCAAATTTTGGTTAAAAAAATTGTACACTTTTTGAAGTTGATGCGGGTAACTTAACTTAATGATGATAAAGATGTCTATGACACTAAATGAAAATCAAAGAAAAGATATTAATTTAAGAAATGGTGGAAGAAAAAAAATGAACCAAATGAACATGTATAACTTTTATAAGTTTTCCTTTCATTTGTAGAAAACACAAGTAAAACACATACATGTATATGTTTCTTTCGATTTTGATAAGCTTTCTTCATATGGCTTTTGACCTTGTCACCAGAAGATCTTCCATCAAGATGATCATGTTGGATTTTCTTTCATTTTTATGGATGAAAAAGATGAAACTTTTCTGTTTCACAGTTATATATATGAAGAGACTTACAATCTCTGACAGAGAAACAAATCTGATGATGATATGTAGGTATGTACAGGTGAGCTTTAACATCAGTTAACCGTGGAGAATGTAAAGACCTACAGGATAAATGCCTGACATTAGGTTTATAGAGGGCTAAGTGTGGTGGTCAAATTCATACTGTATAGTCTAATATTGGGAAGGATTTATTTTCGAAATATAAAGTCATTAAAGAGAGCATGAAAATAAATACCCACCAAATGTTTTACTGTGAATCAAAGAAAATAGGTCTTTATACATGAATGCCAATGTGTAGACATGCACAAAGTTTAATCTTTGTGTACCCAAGAAAGAAGTTAAATAATAGTAACCTTAGAAAACTATAGAGTGAAACAATCACTGCAACATTCAATATTCTGTATGCATCAAAGTTGAAATATCTTGACACAGAATGTAATACACGTCATAGTGGATGTGCAAATTGATCATTGAATTAAATTACTGACAAGAATTACAATCATGTCTCGCTTATGCTGCTTCGTTACTATGGTAATATCTGAGCAGAATGCAGTGCCCAGTTTCCCCCTGAAGAAAATTGGGGGGAACAAAAATAATGGGGTTAATTTGAATCAATATATGTAAACACCATAGATACGTTGCTGTCCTCTTTTAATAACGATACATTTCAATTGGAAAGGGAAAATTTTGTAAATTCTTTTATTTCAAAATCACTAAAATGTAACATTTTGATTCCGAAAATATCACTGTTTTAGAGACGTAAAAGTACTAATTTCCTGTACCTTGTAATCCATCTGGTGGCCTTAGATGTCCCGACTACAATGAAGGTATATTCCAGGTTTGATTGGAAATACACTACTTCATGAGAAACTGAGCAAAATGCAAGCTGGACCTTAAACTTTCAAATTTGGATAAATTTTGACTATGAAACTGTCAGAAAAAAAATCATCATAGTCTCACTCCCCTCGACTTTTTGTTGCAGAGAAGACAAATAATTGAAATGGCATTTAAAATTTATTGCAATAAAGTAAATGTATTTAGAGTAACTGGATAATTTAGCCCACAGACGAGTGATTAGTTAGTGATCACATGGTCCAAGTTACTTACTTCATGAATGAGGAAGGCAGAGGGATCCTGCTGAAATATTTGTAGATAGTATTATTTTTTGTGTCAAGATATTTCGACTAAACAATAAGAACCCACCAATGGCTAATTCTAGTAATTAGCTGTTGTAATATTGCCTCATAAAGTGGCGGTATCCACGGTTTTAAGTAAAGACACCTATGACATGATTTAACACTAACACTTTTAGAAATAGTTATATAACAAACATTTTTTATACACTGAATGCATGGGTTACTCCCTAGATTTCTTCATTCTTCAATAAGTCAACAACTGTATATCACTAATTACTTTGCAGAACCCTTTCACTCAACTTTCAAAAGTTTACTGAATTCTTCCTGTGGTTTAGACTTCCAGGAGTCTTTTACTCTCATCCTTTTCAGCTGCCCATCCCTGCAAAAACAATACTGCATCAATGAGCACTCTTTCCATCAATCACACTATTTGAGGTCATTAATGGCTTATTACTATATTACTATCAGGGGAGATAACTGTACTTTGGGTGATGATAACTGTAATTCATTTTGGGTAATGGCATGAGTTATTGAACTATACATACTCAGGGAGTTTATGTTAACATGACAGATGCAGAACATGCATGTATTTATTAACTGTTCTTATGAGTAAAGAGCTTGTCATACTTTAATGTCATGTCCTGTCTACTCTCGTGCTGATCCCATGTTAGCTTCAGATTACAATGCATATCTTACCATTCTAAATCAACTAATCCACCTCGTCTCGCAATTTCCTTTTTCACTCTATTTGCAAAAGTAACTGCATCTTCATTAACCTGTCAAAACGGCAAAAATGTTAAATATTGTTGACAATCATACTTTTAGGGCCTATGAACCCAACATTTAGCAATTGATGTAGTTAAGTAATGAAAATGAAATAGATTTTCATTGTTTACTCTTTTTTATAGGTAGATGGGTACCATATATCTGCTACAAGTGTCTAACTTACATTTTTCTCTATAGGTAGGTAGGTAGGTACTATACATCTGCTACAAGTGTCTAACTTACACTTTTCTCTATAGGAAGATAGATACCATATATCTGCTACAAGTGTCTAACTTACACTTTTATCTATAAGTAGGTAGATACCATATATCTGCTACAAGCATCTAACTTACATTTTTCACCATAGGAGGTAGGTACCATACATCTGCTACAAGTGCCCAACTTGTCAATATCTGGAAAACATGGCTTAACATCCCCATTTTACTGCTGTCCCAGAATGCATCACCAAAACGTGGATCATACTGTATACAAAAACATATAAACCTATGTACAATAAATTGCATAAAAAGCATAATTTATTCAGTTCTATTAAACATGAAACATTTTTTTTATAATGCTTGGCCATTAATTCTGTACAAGGGACATGAATCCTGACAGAGTAATTATCACTAGCTTCTAAAGAATAACTAGGTTATATCATTATGAAAACAAGACTACTGCTGTGTGTAACAATTCATGCCCATCAAATGCCAAAGAAAGAAGGATTTGTTGTAACAAGAAGATAACAGCGGCATAACTCTGACAATGCCTGGTCACATGAAAAACCAATAAAAATGTCAAATCCTTATGATTCTTCCACCACCATATCAAATTTTAAAGGAATTGAAACAGAGAATTTCAAAAATTGTTGTCTTTTCTATACAATGTCCATATATAAGGGACATAATTCTGCTAAAACAATAGCAAAATTCTGTAACAAGAACTCTTTTGACTATCTTGGTATGGTATGTTTGAGGCAAGATTCATTAATATTAGAAATAAAGAAAGCAGTAACAAGGTAAAGTTAATGACAAAATGACAGCACAGGGCTTACCATCATATGACCCACTGTTGATGGGTGTATAAATTGATATTTGGAGATAAGCTGAAAATTAGCACTCAAGACTTAATACCAATTGACTTTCCAAGCTTATTGGACAAAACTGACCAAAAATACTGCAGAACAGCTATGAAGTGGTCTTCTGAGACAGTAGCAATTGGCCTGTACCTGTAAGGTGTAGCCTATTCAGTTAATCATAAACAATGGTACATACCTTTATAGCTACTGGATATATTGTGGAACCCACTTCAAAACTCCCCTTCTTAAACATCACTACTGAAGTATTGTTTATACAAGTACCTGAAACAGATCATTAGGACATATCTGCTTAGCTTTTGCCAAAATCCTCAGGTGAATGAGTCAAGAGACCACACAAATTGGGACAGAAAGCAACAAAATTAACAACGTATATCACATCTCTTACTACATGTATCTGGTTTACTGAAGAGCTCTCAGAAATGCATTATGCAATGTACTTATTCTTTGACTAAACACCAGAAATATCCACCAGCATGCCAGCATTAATCAACTCATGAGAGAATGTTTACATGTATACATACAGGAAATTGTATGATGGGAGGTAACTCTTACATAATTCAAGTTTACAATATGTCAAATGTCAATAAAGCATGATTCTGTCGAATCATTTGGACTACTCCAGTAAAACTCTTTGAAATAGTCTGTAAACTGATTTTTGAGATGACTGCTACAATCCAGACTTGTATATATCTCACCTTCAGGAAATATCAATATCGGTAGTTTATCTTCATTATCTACATGCTCTTTTAACCTGTAACAAACAAAATAACATTACATGACAAACACAATCACTGCAAAACACTAAAATTCTGTTGCTACAATAGTAAAAGTGCTACATTTACATACCAGTGTGCAGATCAAAATATTTTATGTATTCATGGCAAACTATGATGTCTGTTTTTGAGTATTTTGATCAAACAAATTGTATGCTCATATAATATGTGAAAGAATCAATGAACTATGACATATTCCATTGTCCATGTCTTCTTTTACATACCTTCTAGCTACTAAGTGTCTGTCCCTGACCTCTGACCTTTCAAACCAAATATGGGATGTGGCCCTGGAGAGGGCTCGCTGCACAATACCAAGAAATCCATTATGGGCCTGTCCAACCTAGTAAAATACATAAATATATACTTTTAGTACCATTCACCATGATAAGTCAAACAACATGTTCCTTATAACATAGTGTTTTACAAAATTTAACAAAAATATTTTCATATACCTTATGTGAAACACTAAACAGATTTTCCCCATAATCATCCTATCTAATACAAGAATAATGAACCTTGTATTTTTTTCCCATTTTTCTTTCTATTTCGTACCTTGTCTGAAGCTTAGAAAAAGAAATCTGTCTGAGAATGATATGGCAACTAATTGAAGATCATATATTTTCTCCCAGATTAACTACAAAATATTTCAAACAAGCACATACTTGTACAATTTTACTAGGTAAAACAAATTGCAGATTGTGAAATTTCTACCTGCTCACACTCCCACCAAGAGAACTCATAATTTCAACCTCTAGTTCATGTTGCTCTTAATATGCAGTTATCATATATCTGTACAGTCATGTAGCATGCTGTGCATACATTTTTGGTAACAAGATAAAATCAAAATTTAATGTTTAAAGATTGCCAAAATTTTAATTGTTCATCATATATCTCTGACATAATTCATGATAAAAATTCCGAAGTAGTACAACCAAATTGGTTACCATAGCATAACAACTATCACAGGAGAGAATGATAACATCAATTGGTGAGGTATGGTTGGCAACACATATTCCATTCTTTGCAATGTTCTCTCGATTGTGGAATGTCAGTACTGCAGAACATGCTCTTGCCAACATACGATGAGACATCAGACTCGCTCGTTTGTTTAATCTTTTCTTTAGACTGGAAAATATTAAAACATAAAATTCAGAAGAGTTTTAATTCTGTAATAATAAATGAGGTATGTGAGTATTTTTGGAGTAGAATTTAATTTTGATCCAAGGTTTCAATTTATTATCCAAGAATGCCAATCTTGAATAACTTGCAGGTAAACAAAAACTTATGCCATAGCATAAAATTAAAAGACCAGTAAGTTTATCTCTGATATTGCGAATGAGCCTAGTGCTACAGAATAACAAGGGACTAGAATCATTTAGCCAGTTTGATTTATCATAACCAATAATATATTTCAAGAATCAACAAATTAAAGAAAAAGATAACACCACATCTATTAAATTAGCTATATAGGAGCAGAAAAACATCTGTAATTCTATTTGGCTCCATTACTTTATTGTATTAAAACTCAAAAACATGAACAGAGGAGACATCCTAATCCAGACATTTAGAGCAGAGAAGGCTGGATATTGATGGCCAAGATACCATATCAGTGAAACAAAAAATGCATCCTTGTTGGATAGAGGAAAGGGTGGATGGAAATTTGATTAGTGGATCAACAGAGTAGTGAGAGCTAGATAGTGGGATTAATAGAGTAGTGAGGGCTAGATAGTGGGATTAACAGAGAAGTGAGAGCTAGATAGTGGGATCAACAGAGTAGTGAGAGTTAGATAGTGAGATTAACAGAGTAGTGAGGGCTAGATAGTGGGATCAACAGAGTAGTGAGGGCTAGGTATTGGGATTAACAGAGTAGTGAGGGCTAGATAGTGGCATTAACAGAGTAGTGAGGGCTAGATAGTGGGATCAACAGAGTAGTGAGGGCTAGATAGTGGCATTAACAGAGTAGTGAGGGCTAGATATTGGGATTAACAGAGTAGTGAGGGCTAGATAGTGGCATTAACAGAGAAGTGAGGGCTAGATAGTGGGATCAACAGAGTAGTGAGGGCTAGATTGTGGGATTAACAGAGAAGTGAGGACTAGATAGTGGGATTAACAGAGTAGTGAGGGCTAGATAGTGGGATTAACAGAGAAGTGAGGACTAGACAGTGGGATTAACAGAGTAGTGAGGATCAGATAGTGGGATTAACAGAGTAGTGAGAGCTAGATAGTGGGATTAACAGAGTAGTGAGGGCTAGATAGTGGCATTAACAGAGTAGTGAGGGCTAGATAGTGGGATTAACAGAGTAGTGAGGGCTAGATATTGGGATTAACAGAGTAGTGAGGGCTAGATAGTGGGATTAAAGTGGGATTAAACAGAGTAGTGAGGGTTAGATAGTGGGATTAAAAGAGTAGTGGGATTTGGGATTAACAGAGTAGTGAGGGCTAGATAGTGGGATTAACAGAGTAGTGAGGGCTAGATAGTGGGATTGACAGAGTAGTGAGGGCTAGATAGTGGGATTAACAGAGTAGTGAGGGCTAGATAGTGGCATTAACAGAGTAGTGAGGGCTAGATAGTGGGATTAACTGAGTAATGAGGGCTAGATAGTGGGATTAACAGAGTAGTGAGGGTTAGATAGTGGGATTAACAGAGTAGTGAGGACTAGACAGTGGGATTAACAGAGTAGTGAGGGCTAGATATTGGGATTAACAGAGTAGTGAGGGCTAGATAGTGGCATTAAAATAGTAGTGAGAGCCAGATAGTGGGATTAAAAGAGTAGTGAGGGCTAGACAGTGGGATTAACAGAGTAGTGAGGGTCAGATAGTGGGATTAACAGAGTAGTGAGAGCTAGATAGTGGGATTAACAGAGTAGTGAGGGCTAGATAGTGGGATTAACAGAGAAGTGAGGGCTAGATAGTGGGATCAACAGAGTAGTGAGGGCTAGATAGTGGGATTAACAGAGTAGTGAGGGCTAGATAGTGGCATTAACAGAGTAGTGAGGGCTAGATAGTGGGATTAACTGAGTAATGAGGGTTAGATAGTGGGATCAACAGAGTAGTGAGGGCTAGCTATTGGGATTAACAGAGCAGTGAAGGCTAGATAGTGGCATTAACAGAGTAGTGAGGGCTTGATAGTGGGATTAACAGAGTAGTGAGGGCTTGATAGTGGGATTAACAAAGTAGTGAGGATAGTGAGACAGCTGAAAGAATGATGGCACCTGGATTTATGAGGCTAAAATGTGTATAAGACTGAATTCTGATGGGTCCAGGGGGAAAGCAAATATAAGTGGAACCTTTTTAAATCCTCTGAATAAAGAGTAACTAGGCCTTAGGTTTAAACCATATATATTGTAACTTTACAGGTATAAACGTGAGTGAAGGAGACCAGTGTCCTGTGACTTTTTTTTTCAGAACAGAAATGGGTACATGTAAATTAATAAATATATATTAATGTGATAGTACACCTACTTGCTTTCTGGTAAATAGCCAATAATGGCTGTGGAGAGTATCAGCCAGGACAGACCTGTACAAAGAACAAGCACTCTGAAACAAAAATATGATGTATCATGTTATTCTGAATCAATCATAAGACCTTTATCATTAATATGTTTAATCAAACAAATTTTGAATAGACTTCACACTGGGTTTCATATCATTCCAAAAGAGGGTTTTGATTGACAAAATTCAGAATTCATTTTGCATTTTACTGAGTCCGTTGTTACTCACTCTGTCATAAGGGTAATATATTGAGGAGACTTACGGTTTCATATTCTGAAATGCTGATGAAAAAAATCCATTGATGCTACATGTTTTATAGGGCCTTAAGCACGACATAAGCTTAGCAATTGTGATGTATACTTGGAGTCAAATCTGTGTATGAAGGTCACTCAAGGCAACAAAGAGAAGTGGTCATTATAGGCAGTTATTAAGGTTAAACGACCATGAAATGTTTATCATACTGATCCAAATACAATGGCTTTATATAGGTAGCTAACTGTTGGAGTCTGAGTACATATATGTACAATATCAAATGACAAGAAAAAGGATATATTTTAAATCGTCATACAGCAGATGAGAAAATATTAAATAACAAAATCAGAAAACAATTATTAAAACAATAATTTTGTAGGCTTAATTTGAGATCTTACCTGAAGGGCAAGAGTATGAAGTACCTAACAAAACATCCCAGGCACCAAAGAATAGTCAGACGCACACTACAAGTAAAACAGAAAATAGGTCTTGAATAACCACTAACTACGAACATGGCTCGTTCCATCATTCAAATTTTGTCAGTCCGTTGTTGTGTTGGTTTGGTTCTTAAATTTCTCATTTTCATCGATGCCATAATTACCTGATAAATTGGTAGCCTAATGTTGTTCTTGTTAGAAAATTCCAGCTTTTAAGCTCTACAATGAAAAATCAAAAATGTTAAAAGAACATTTGCAGTAAACATTAGGCATATATCACACCCAGAATATTACCATTGACTGTTACAAAAACATAGCAATCTCTACTGAATGTTGGCACCTTCAGTTCCTAATTATACAAGCTTATATTACACTGTATGATCTACAAAACTAATTTCGTATTTTACGGATTGTGTTTAAAATGATGTATTTGTTGATTTTAACACAAGAAACAACCATTTTGTGATGTTTTTTGACAGTTGTTTCAATATGTGTGGAGACATAGTCTTTTTGAAAAATCTTTCTTCTGTCAATATTGAAACGTAAAAGATGACCAACCTTCAGCTGTAAAACACTGTGTTACATCATCTTCGATGACTGCCTAGGGAAAATAAAAACAGAGAGACTGAATACAATGATCATATGGTCTACTAAACAGTGAACAACTGATGTGCGTGGTCTTTGTACAAAGGCTAGGGTATATTGCAAGATAAGCAATATATAATCAGTACTCAGAGTTACACATTTGAACAGTTACATATGTATATCATGTTTACAAATTTAACATCTTGTATTCCAAATGCACTAAAATCAATGACTTTTCAATTTAGTAAGATTAATTTGTCCTATTTCTATTTACTTGATAGAAGATTTTGATATAAGAGTATCATGATATGGAAAGGTCATAATCTGTCATGTCGAAAATAATATTCAATAATTTTCTGTGATAAACATGTCATACATGGCCCATGTCACTGTATAAGTTATCACTCAACTACAATCTTCTGTAACAAGTGAAAGATCAAGATTTAAATCAACCAACTTACTTCAACTCCACATTTTGCAAAGTACATGATATCAGAAATATGAAATTCCTTTTTCAAGTTTGTGATATCATATTCCGGTCTTTGAGATGGCATCTTTAAACCTCCCATGGCAGAGATGGAAATGTCACGACGGATAACTTGCTGATCATGACCTGGAAAGTAATCTATCATTATTTAGGGTCACGACCAAGATGATCATTTTAATTCAAAGGACATACAGATACATGGCATTAACATGATTACTGTATAAATCTAAAAACTAATCATTAAATTTGAGTCTGTACAGGTACAATCTATGCTCAATAAAAACTAATTGTGTTGATCACAAAGACAATATTTTTCTAAAATTTTTAATTAACATAATGTCTGATACAAGAGGTCCAAGAGGAGATGCCCAGTATTGCTTGATCTTAATTCTTTGTTCTTTAAATGTTACTTCCTATTTTGAAGAAAAAAAAAATCATAAGTTCAAAATCATAAGTTACAAAATAGGACTTCAAACTTTGAGGATGTTTTACTTACATCAGATGCTAAGCTTTTATTACATCAGAATGTTGATATATATTTTTCAAAAAACCAAGCAAAATAATATTTTGCCTTTTAGCCAATTATTTTCATGTCTGTTTTAGTACGAAGACATTTGTGAATTTTAGCCAAACTTAAAGTTTAATCATTTCTGATCATACCACCAGTTAGTTCATCTTATATGAATGTAGCAAATATAAGTCAAAATAAGTTTGAGAAGTGCATCCTCACACATCCGATACAAAATTCAATTAGTAAGACATTTATAAATACCATTTTCCTTTTCTCCTCTAATCAGTTCCTCATCATCTTCCTCCTCTTCTTCAGACTCTGATCGACTATATTGTTTTCTGTGAGTTTCATTGTATAAAGCTATCCTCTCTTGCCCCCACTATAAAACATATACAAAAATAACATTCAGATAACAAACATTTTAAATCATAAACAAAGACAGAGCTTCAATTTGTATAAACTTTTAAATTATGTCATTAAATGTAGACACTGAATACAACAGAGTTAAGTGTTTGGCTAATTAGCTCTGACTGGTTTGGCAGAAGATAGAGAAAATCATGTAGACCTCAGATATTATCACAGCAGATGATGTTTGTTTCCCTTCAGTTTTAACAGACTGTTTCCTGATCTATAAATAAACATTCAGTATTTTGGATGCAGTGATTAAGCTTTTGGAGTCTGTGGTGTTGCACCTTAGCTATCAAACATTGCTGAAATTAAGAAGTTTTAGGTTAGTGTGCTCTTCCGTATCTGAACTTTATTTTGAGGAAGGGTAATCATGAGCTGGTATGTCTGTGTAGCTGTTGTTTAAAATGTAACAGACTTCCAAGTTCTAGTTACTTTTGTCATCCTATTTTGGTCTACCTCATCCACAAATGTATTTTGTACATGAAAGTCTCCTTCCTGTACAGGAAACATGGATATATAGACCTCAGATATTATCACAGCAGATGATGTTTGTTTCAAAATCTGTGCTAAATCAAATGTTATACATGTATATAGAACATAAGTGCTACATGATAGTCTACGTGCTTCATGGTAGATGTATTATACTTCTAAGAAGTTAGGAACATAGGACTCTAAGATACATTTTTGCATGCTGCGTTAGACATGCCTAGTCATCTTTCTTTAATTGGCACATTGTGTTTTCCAGTCATCAGTGATAGCAATAACTGAGCTAAATAATGAAAACTAGGAAAAATATCATTTGATTGTGAGGACTTAAAATTCTTCACACAAACCAATAATAACAAGATTACTTTAATTTTCATCACTACTAGCTACAAATGTAAAGTTTCCTCAAGCCAATCCATCAACAGAACAATCAGGCATTCATTGATGCTATTAGATATCATACATTATAACAGGTTAGGAACATCCTTGAATTTGCAAAGATGCACTGGAAGACAAATACATCCTCTCATTACAGTGTATTTTTATCCTCTGAACTGAGACACATTTAAGTACAGGTAAGTCTTAAATTGATTTTTAAGATAATTGGACAAAATGGCATTTTCTCATTCACAGGCTGGGATACTTATCTGATAGGCAACATTTTGCAAACAAAAATATGAGAAATATGTTGTCTACTTTTTACACAAATTGATAAACCAAACTATTGTGCAATCTTGCCATTGAAAACAATGAAATCTTTTGTCAGAAAAATGCTGGTGATCGTGAGAACATTCCAAATTAGATTCACCAACATGTGTATGATTTGCTGTGGCTGTCCGTTGAATACACTGCACAGAGTATGGTTTACTGAATTGTAAACAAATAAGATAACATATGATCAACATTTTCTTTCAATGTAGTTTATATACTTACCTTGGTAAGTTTATTGTGAATTTGTGAATATGCTATTTTGTCTGATTCTTAAGCTTGCATGATTTATATTTACACCAATATATCTCAGTTCAGAGGATTAAGATCCTCTTTAATGAGAGGATGTGTTGGACTTTCATTACACCCTCTCAAAATAAACCCAAATAACATTTTACCTCAGACTATGATTTTAGCACTCAAAATACTAACAAATATATTTTGGGTATCCAACTTCATGTTGCACTTATGTTCCCCTTATCTGCACACTTTATCTTTTTCACACTCAGGTCATAGTGTAGGCATTAGATGTTGGTGAGCGTTAATCGCACATCATATGATCTGGATAAACAATGGGTTTTTAGCTGCCGTGAATATAGCAATATACTTGAAGTTTGGAGAGAATCTACAAGTTGTCAGTGGTCAGGTGTGCCTCTAACAGCTACCTGAGTACTGTATAAAAATCAGAGTTGACAGAGATAACCAGGAACAAAGAAACAGTCTCGATGAAAGACATGTTGGCTAGCACGACAAAGATATATGATGGTAGCAGCGTCCCTAGCAACACCGACAAACAGGTAAGGGGAAGACCCCTCCGGTCTAAATCTGGCACAAAAATAAACCAAAGGAATCAGAAAATTCTATATTCGCTACAACTTCAATTTATGAGAAACTGCTGATAATGAGGATGGTGATTGGACCTATTAGGCTTGCAACACCACATTTTTGGACCCAGACGTGAAAATGCTGGAATGTGAACGATGAACTTCAATTTTCTGCACAAGATGCCAAGGTTTCTACAGAAATCTGACTCAATGTGGTTCTGTATGGCTTGCAAGGAAGTTAAACAGAAAAATATAATTACTGATTTAAAAATTGAGGAGAGATATCATGATATTATGAAGGAGTATGAGGGAAGAATATCCACACTGGAGGATTCGATCTCAAATAAATGTAATGAGGAGACAGTTAGAAGAATAATTATGGCAACTAGAGAAGCTGAACCCAGCTTGAATCCGCAAGAATGGCCAAAGCCACAGTCTAACAAGAGGGTTGCATATATAGAACCAGATATTACTAACATCATGTCAGAAATTAATGAACGGAAAGAGAGGGAGTGAAACCTAGTAGTCTTCAGTGTACCAGAGTGTGGAGATAGAGACACGAATGCTAGAAAACAGCACGATACGGAATTCACCAATAAGATGCTGCAGAAATGCAAAGTCAACACAGGTGATAAACTAGTACTTAAGTCTGTGAGAATAGGGAGCTATCAGAAAGACAAACAAGGCAAGGAGCAAAAAGGTAGACCACTGCTGGTGTCACTTTAGAGTCTGGAAATAAAAAACTGTTAAAAAATATCAAGAATTTACACAAGGAAAATGTATTTAAAAACATTAGGAACAGTAACGACTTAACAAAGGCTGAAAGGGAACACAAGAAGGAATTATGAAGAATAACCAAAGAAAAAAAAAGAGAGCAGAATTTGTCAGAGGAATTTACTTTCAAAGTCTAGGGCCCACCATGGGCCAGGAAAATCACCAGAATTCAAACTACAACTGTATAACTGAGAAAACTGCAACCAATTGGAACACAGCACATGCAGCTACAAAATAGGACAAATGTAAATCAAAAATAATAAAAGACTTAAAATGCTTTCATACAAATGCAGATCAGCTTAAAAACAAAATGTCTGAATTGAGTATTAAACAAAGAAAATCCAGATATAATAGGAATTACTGAAGTAAAGGCAAAAAACCATCTTTACAGTCTAAAAGCATCAGAATTCAGTATAGAAGGGAACCAAAATTACAGTATTTTTAGTAAAAAGGTGGAAAATGACCAGGGAAGAGGCATACTCATCCTAGTCAACAAAGAATTGTATACTAATGAAGTAGTAATAAGTACATAGTTTCAAGAAAATTTGTTTCTACAAATCTGAACACAACAAATTAAATCAATCCTTCTAGGTCTAATATACAGGTCACCTTCGACATCTGATGAGAATAATTATGCCTTGCTAGACTTACTAGAAGAAGCAGCTGGTAAAGGGCATGAAAAATTTGTAATGATGGGAGAAAACACAGAAACACACAAATTTAAATTCACACACAAACTTTAAGACAACTTTATCTTTCAAAACGTCAATCAGCAAACTAGATGGAGAGGTAGAGATAACCCACACATCCTTGATCTGGTTATAACAAAAGATGAAAACTCACTTTCAACAACAGAACATCAGAGTGCACTTGGCAAAAGGGATCACTGCACACTTTTGTTTAATATATTATGCAACATCAATTTAAGTTTACTACTAAAAACGAAATAATGTTACAAAGTAGCTAATGCTACTATAATTAATGAGGAGCTAAGAAACAAAAACTGGATAATAAAACTGACATATACTGTAGATGAGAACCGGCAACAATTTAAGAATACCCTGAAGGAAATAGAAGAGAAATTTGTCCCAACCAAAATTATAACTATAGGGAGAAACAATAGACACAGCTTTCCAGCAAATCAAGAAACACTAGACACATCAGAAAGAAACATTCATCATCCAGAAAACTGCTAGAAACGATCAGGAAATACACAAGGAATATAACAAAATACGCAATAAAGTAAGGAAAGTAACCTGTAAAGCCAGAAAAGAGTATGAAATGAATATTGCAACAAAGACAAAAACCAATCCGAAAGTAATTTGGAACTACATTAAGTCAAAATCAACTACTAAGTCTGATATTGGAGATCTACATTCTGATCCAAAGGACAATAAATTAGTCAGAATAACAACAGACAACGGCAAAGCAAATATCCTATGTCATTTTTTCAGTAGTGTTTTTGTAAAAGAACAGGAAAACAACACACCAGAACTACCGTATATAAAAAACTGATCAAAGAAGAAATGCCTAGACTCAAGGTGAAGGAGGCAACTGTTTTTCAGCTATTGATGAGACTCAAACCAGGAAAATCACCAGGACTAGACAGTCTTCACCCTATGTACCTAAAAAAATATCGCATCATCAATATCGAGTCCACTGACAGGAATTTTTAATCAAACGCTATCCGAGGGAACACTGTCAGATGACTGGAAAAAAGCTAAGATCTGTGCAATATACAAGAAAGGGGACAAATGCATAGCAGGAAATTATACACCAGTTAGTCTAACATCTGTTCCATGTAAAGTTTTGGGAACATATCACAAACTTCACAAGAGGAAACAACTACTTCTCTCCAAAACAGTCTGGTTTTATATCTCGAAGATCACCTATCTCCAGTTATTAGAGGTGATGGATAAGTGGAACGAAGCTCCAGACAATGGTCAAATTATTGACCGTGTCTACATGGATTATCAAAAAGCATTCCATACTGTCCAACATAAAACATTAATCAGCAAACACAAGTTGTATAACTTCTCAAAACAATTAATCTCCTGGATATCATCATTCCTAACAAACAGAAGCCATAAAGTATCAGTGAATGGGGAAGTCTCTGAATGGGGCAATGTAACTTAGGTATCCCACAAGGATCAGTCCTAGGACCAATATTCTTCATAATATTCATAAATGATCTGTCAGATATTGTCCAATTGGATATGTTTCTCTTTGCAGACAACACAAAGATATTTAAAATAATAGAGAATAAAAACCACTGCACTGAGCTACAGGAAGACATGGAGACTATGTGTAATTGGAGTGACACATGGTTACTTAGAATGCATCCGGACAAAGGAAACATCAAAACACCTATATCACCTTAATGCTGCATACAATCTCAAAGGAAGATACCTCCAAATAACAACCAATGAAAAAGATATTGGGGTGACCATAGACTCAGATCTTTCATTCAATAAAGATATATGCAAGAAAGTTAAAAAAGCAAATTCTATGTTCGGTCTCTTAAGAGAAACATTTCAATTTATGGACCTATAATCATTTGCTACTCTGTATAAATGATTTGTAAAGTCTCAGCTGGATTATGCTAGTCCAGTGTGGTCTCCATACCTATGTAAGCATATAGATATGATAGATGGAGTCAAATGCAGAGCAACAAAGTGTCTTCCAGGAATGAAGGATCTGGACTATAAGGAGAGATTGAAAAAATTAAAACTTCCAACATTGGCCTTCCAGAGGGTAAGGGGAAACATGATTGAGCTGTACAAGATGGTAAACGGTGTATATAACAGGGAATGCTGCAGTGCCTTATCATTATAGGAGGATGCATCACAAAGACATAGTGGTAGAGGAAACTCCAAGAAGATATACCCCAAGAGATCAACTGGCACATGAAGAAAAATAATTTCTGAATAAGAACAGTTAAAATATTGAACAGTCTACCGGAAATAACAGTATCTGCACCTAGTGTAAATGCTTTCAAAAACGCCCTAGACAATCATCGGAAAAATCAAGGACTATTCTATCACTACAAAGCTCAAATAACTACATAATTTATCTTATCGAGAACAGAACTGTATGCTATATTTATATGTCACACATGTAACAAGTTTTTGTAATGGAGTCTGGTTTAGAGGACTTCAAAATTCTGCACCAGAAATAAACTTAACTTAACTTGATGCCAAAGAGGTTTAGCTGTTCAGGCCTAGTCAATAAGTATACCATATGATTACCTTAAATATTTTTAGCATCAAGTCTGCGTATTTCCTCCGCAATCCCAGACTCTTCCCAAGTGATGCCAGTATTACAGCTAATAATATCAGAAAGGCAAGTGGAGTAAACAACAATGTTAACACGATGAACAGTTGTTCGTCCATCTTTGGTTTCTGTGACTTCGATGTTCCTAAGCCAATCAATCGTTTCGTAGACGGGATGGTTGATCTTCGTCAAATGGGCGCTTATAATTAAAGCTAATAGTCAAAGCCGATCAAATATCCGGAAATTACGTCTATACACGCCGTAAGAGGTACAAACTGCAAAGTACAAGATTTTAAAAAATTCAGCGGTCATCCAATGATAACAGCCAACAATACTATGTAGAGATATTTTTATAATAACGAACAAAATACATAAAACTGAATGGAGATGAAAGATATCACATCTTTTATATGCATACTAATATTATATTATTGTATTTCTGCATTCAAACAGAACACTGTCTGTACTAGTATTTACAACCGTGAAGTCTAAAAATGTAAATTAGCTTATTATGAATATTTGCAACACACTACATGTACTTGCTTACATAGATATGATAAAAATGTACACAGTAAGCTTAACAACACATAACATCCAATTTTAATTTCAGTAGCGCAAAAAATAGCACAATATCAACTCATGTAGTACACTTACATATCTTACATAGGTCTACATTTATATACTTTAGATAACTGACATATCATGCCATACGGCCATGTCATGAATATCGTAACTTATCTGTAAAAAACACTAATATCACGTGATAAGTAATTCCTGTATTGATGACGTCATACGATTATTGTTGTAATGAAAAATGGACCGTCCGCGTGGATATAAGTCTGTCTTACAGGGTAATTAAATCAAGAGTTTTGGCTTACTGTTCAGAAATATAAATCAGTACTTACGACAGCGTACAAATTATTAACTTCGTTTAATTAATTCCTTATTATACCGACACTCGTGTAAGATCTTCTTTACATACAACAATAGCTTTTTATACTTGTGTTCTTGTTATTATTCCTTATCCATTTCTATAACAAATGTTCAGTTTAACATGTTATCACAGATTTATTGTTGCTTTGAGATCACTGTGATTTTATTATTTTGATTATTATGAAGGCAATTTTGTGCTCAAGCATATCAATATATTTTGAATAAGGAGATTCCAGGTTTTATCTATTTCTATTGAAAGGACATGTGTCTTTAGCAGCCGGTTTCCCATTAACTCAAGAAGTCTTCTCCAAAGCATAGTCGACTACTTTCGAAGTATATTGGTATTATCGAAAACTATCCAAAGTCATTTGGGTTAAGTGTCTCGCCCAATAACACATCCACAACGGCTGGGTCGATCCGTGATTTCCTTCCTAAAGCAAGCAGCGTCTGAAGGATCGGAAACCACATCCTTGACCTTTACCAGAGATTTCAGTGGTCCAATGAAACCTAGCTATCGCCACCCATTTACTGGTTGTATCTTAATGTATCGAAACATATGCTCTGGTGATTATTTACAAACAAACTCCGACATATCATGAGACGATATTTGGTTTGCATAGCTTATTTGTTGTTTTATAACAGAAAAAATACTGTATCAAGAAAATGCGTACTTTTCATGCCTTTTAGCTTATCATTTTGATATACTAAAACAACATTTTAAATAACTTCAGATTACTTAAATAGCTTTTATTTGATTAATTAAAATAAGTAAGTAACTTCTAATGGGTGTTTTAAACACTGATCAGGTTACATTCCACAAAACCACGACACAGGGAAGTATTTTTTAAGTAAATAAATGTAACGTGGAATTTATTTTAAGATTAAGAGTGAATGTTATAGAAACTTTTAAAAGATACATGTAACAGAACTGGTCGATATTCCAACTTCCTGCAGGCAGTGCAATTAGTGAAAACCTAATTTGTAACCATCATGTTGGGGTCAATCTTTCGAAATTAAAAAAAAAACTTATTAAGAAATGACAAAAAGATGATATTATGACGAGGGAGAGAGAGAGAGAGAGAGAGAGAGAGAGAGAGAGAGAGAGAGAGAGAGAGAGAGAGAGAGAGAGAGAGAGAGAGAGAGAGAGGGATAAAGAGAGCATGATCCTGAACACGTTTAGTTTTACCAACCAAAAGCCGAATGTGCACATTGTAATACATCGTGATGACAAATAGGAAAATAACTTTCAAGAGCCTTGATCTTTCATCCTTTCATCCGTGACAACACAATTTCAAATCTATATGTCTGTACTTCGTGACTAAAGACTACGTGAACCTAGTCACGGCTCAACGACCAAACACAAAATTTAACACCAGGGAAATATCCACCATCCTTCTGTAATATGTCCCTTGGCAAAATGCCTGTTTATAATTTTGAATATGAGACCTAAATGTCTCTGTTTGATCTTGTTTGATTGTAAAGGAAAACGTACCTGTTGATAATTCGTGGCTTACTTAAATAATTGAATCAATGAAATTTGGAAACTACATGTATTACCGCTTGATAGTAAAATTTATAATTGGTCATTTATTGTGATGTCTGATAGGACGGATGGGGAACGGGTGATAAAAAGGCCTAATGCCGAGGTGTGAAAGTGAATTGCCCTGGGGGGTATAGCAGTGATGTCCAAGACAAAGGTAAAATGATATTGAGCCAAGTGGTAACATGGGCCATACTAGGGTTGGTGTAGTCAAACGTCTGAAATATGAGCTGTGCAGAGATGATGGCAATATTGTGAGCAAAGAATGACTTTTTAGATGGACGGGAAAGGGTATGCAATCATGGGCGTGAATTTATAGTCATGGTACATAATGAATTGTCTAGAAGATTTTACTTGAGTTACTCAGTATCTCCCTACATATGTATATAGGTATACGTACAAATGTGTGTACACTTGACTGTATTTTCATTACAGTGGGATATCGAATAAATTTCGAATGAGAAGATAATCTACATACTCTGACATAGTCCAACAACTGTCATTACTATCCAGTCACTTCGTCCGATCATTCAATTCAGTTCTATTTCAATTCACTTTATTCCGTGTGCAAAGAGCTTATATGATTACATATTAAAGACATCCATAATATAACTAAAGTTTGTACAAGATGGCGGAGAACATTAGCCACCATATATATCTAAATATATATATGCATGTATACATATACAGAAACATAGATAAGGCATAGCCCACTTCGACACAACATTATGACGTCATCACGAAACATTGATAGTAAGCATCCTCAACAGGAAGCCGGCTAATGAAATACCATAAGACAACAATATATTTCTTTGTACCAATGTAGAAATTGATGAGCACATTTTTTAACTCATAACTTTATGAAAAGAGTACGGGAATCAATATATAACCATGTATTAATTTCACATTCATGTTACATTTAAACAGTACAAGATGTATTTAGTAACTCATATATGTAATAATAACTTTCTCTTGGCCGTAGCATGAATTAGATACCTACCAAAATTACGAGGATTTATCTTTTATTTTACATTTATGGCTTGAAAACGGTTGAATCAATTTGAAAACAGATGGTCGACGATAGGAGTATGGTTTGATATATAATAATATTAATTCTTGAATATGCTAGACATAATAGTATAAAATGAGTTTCATGCTCAACTTCGTTTTTGTCATACAGCGTGCACAGTCTTTGAGTTATATGAAGGCCATGATATCTCACAATCTCAACGTTTAGTGTATACGCATTCAACCTATATTTAGAAATAATCATTTTCTCTTTAAAGTTAGTGACTTGTGAGATAGGATTGTGTTGGATTCTGTCTATATGTAATACACTTTGAAGAATTATCAAATCCATTTCTTAATTCTCGAATAAAAATATCCTGTATCCGTTATTTATGAAATCAGCTGTGACAACCATACATCACCAAAACCCAAAAAGCTTCTGTTATAAATGAAAAACTCAGTTTGCTTTACAATTAGGCTTCTTTGTATTTAGTTCTAATAATTCATCATAACACGCCCTCAGTATACATTTATCAGCCTTTAAATGTTTCAGCCAATATTTAATAATAAATACTCTCCGCTGTAAAGAAAAAGGAAAACGACCGAGTTCGAAATAAACCATGGAGTTCTTAACATTTTCCTTCACACCCAGTAGAGATTTCATAAAAACTAGATGCAGTTTTTCTATCTGTGGTAGATTGTCGAAGCCCTAAACCTCACAGCCGTACTTCAGAATACGTGACATATAAGTATCCTATAACGTCAACTTGGTCTTTCCGTTCGAGATAAACTTTTTTGCCTTTCGACATAGTAGAAAATAGGCCGTTTTGCCTTGTGTAGTAATATTATCATGTGCAACACCAAATTAACCATTATAATTCAATACCAAGCCTAGATAACAAAACTGATCTACCATTTCTATGTCTTTTACATCAAATTTATACTCTCTTGTTTTTTTCCAAATACCACTATTTTAGTTTCCAACGATCTGAATACCACTTTGAAAAGGCCAAGAATAATTTGAAGCTCATCTATTATTGTATTATATTGACGTCTCGTTCTACTTCTTTAAAATTCACAAAAGTATCTGAAAGCATTCTGAACCCAGATAAAACAAAATCAAGAATGATTCTCGTTAAAAATGAGTGCACATGTAAGTATCAACGTCAACATAGTATATACATTATACACTTCTTCAATAATGCTTGCATGATTCGTCATTATTGTTTTATTTAATGTAAGTAGATCGGTCAGTACATATTCACACCATTGGTTATTACTATACATATGCCTTTGAAACTGCATTATACACTAAAAGGATAAAGAAACGCAGGGTGATCTTTAAACCAGAAATTAAGTATGATATCGGGCTTCATTTAAAATGAAATTTTGTATACTTACAGATAAATTAAAGCTTAAAAATTTCCAAAGTCTGTATTTTGCATTTGACAATTGGTTTAGAGGTAATAACGATTAAATTGAATGGACCCATAGGATTTTGAAATTGTGTGTCCGCCGTTTGCTGTGGTCACGGCCCTTATTCTTCTGGTCATCGAGTTCATGAGAGCGTTAATCCGTCTTATGGGGATGTTGTCCCACTCTTCAATCAGAGCTCTGGTCAACTGCTCTCGAGTAGCA